GCGGCTCTGCACGCGGTGCGCCCGAATCCGGGCATCTTCGGAGCTGCGCCCCTTTCGCCCCCTCCACCCTTTCCTTTGGTCGCCCTCCCAAGAGGGCCCCAAGAGGCAAAAAACTGTGCTTTTCCTTTGGTTTTGGACAGATTTGGGCGTTTTAACCTTTTCGGTTCCCCGACGCCCCTAAACGGCTCAAGAGGCCTCCAAGATCGCCCTAAGAGGGCCCAAGAGGCCCACAAGAGCTCCATAGTCGACGCGCCACCAGACGTGTTGGTGGAGCGGGCTGGGCCTCTCGCCCGAGGCCGCCCTTCAGTATGGCCGTGGAGCTGGGAAGTTCCGGCAGCCGCACGGACGAAGGGCGGGCCGTCGTTGCTACGACGTAGTTCTCGCCTCCAGCCTGCCGCGCCAGCGCCTCCGGCTCCCGACGTGGCTCTGCTCTCCGCGGCGATGGAGGGGGAGACAGGGAGCGAGAAGCAGCCAGACGACGATGAACGCGAAATCGCGAGGTCAGGGCCCGCGGGACGAAGCAGGCGGGCGGGCAGGCGGGAAGGGAGAAGGGAGACAGCTAGCAGGGAGGAGTGGAGGAGAAACCGAGGGAGAGGAGGAGGAGGAGGAGGAGGAGGAGGAGGAGGAGGAGGACAACGCCGATTACCTGTCGTGCAACTGAACCAGAACCACACGCCAACATGTGGGCCCTGCAAGGGGCACTCAAAACTAAACGAGTTTCTTACCCGTCTTGGGATGCTTGCCAGCCTTTCTGGCATCGATCTTTGATCTTTGCCTGGCTCTGGCTAGGTTGTTCTCGGCGGGGCCTAGGCAGGCCTCGTCAAGATTACATTTGGCAGCCTTAGCAGACACTTGATAGGAGCCGCGCAGGGTGCACACCATGGCACCTTGGGTCACCCAAACACGGTGCCCACGGAGCTCGACGATCTCGTCGGGCGGCGGCGCAGACGATTCGCCGTGAGCAGGAACCGCCTCTGGAGGGCTGTCGGCACCCTCATCTTGGGCCCACTGTAAGGCCACGCCGACCGCCTGACTACGCATAAGTGGAGCCTCCTGCAAGCCCCTGTCCCGAGGAGCCATCAAACTCTGCTGAGGGGTCGGGTTACACGGGGTGCCTAGCAACTTCGCCAAGCTAGCAGGGGTCCTAGCTATGGACATACACAGTCGACACTGGAGCACCTTGGCCCCGTCCAGAGACATATGCACCATACTATGCGGAGTGAGGCCCAGCTTCGGGGCCGCCGTGGGTTGCCTATGCGAGCGAGCGGGGCGGTCACTCTCACCACCACGATAAGCAATCTTAGCAGCGGAGGAGGACGAGGAGGAGGAGGAGGAGGAGGAGGAGGAGGAGGAGGAGGAGGAGGAGGATGGGGAGGGGGAGGGGGAGGGGGAGGAGGAGGAGGAGGGGGAGGGGGAGGAGGAGGAGGAGGAGGAGGAGGAGGAGGAGGAGGAGGAGGAGGAGGAGGAGGAGGAGGAGGAGGAGGAGAAGGAGGGGAGGAGGAGGAGGAGGAGGAGGAGGAGGAGGAGGAGGAGGAGGAGGAGGAGAAGAAAGTGGAGGAGGAGGAGGAGGAAGAGGAGGAGGAGGAGTAGGAGGAGGAGGAAGAGGAGAAGCACGGGAGACGAGGAGGAGGTGGAGGAGAGCAACCGCAAGCAGATGGGTTCATTCGTCTTGAGAATTGCAGCAGCTGCGCGGACACAGAACGGGCCGTTTTCGAAATGTGCCTCTCGCCCCAGCGTTGCGCACACTCGTCTCAGCAGGCCGCAGTTGCTACAGGATCGGAGTGCGGCCCCTGTTCCACGCGGGCTGGCCGGACGGTCTTCTCCGCTCTCGTGGCTTTGTGCTTAACAAGCATGTTGATCAGTCGCACGGCTCGAGGGCCGTGTCTTGTTCGAACTGGTGGTGTCGCTGGATATGATTTCGGCTTCTCGGTGCCCAAAGGGACGGAGTGCGGCCCCTCTGCAGTACGGGACTCGCTGGACGCATCCTTGAACACTACCCTGCTGCTGGCGCCGAAGGCCCCTGGCCCCGACCGCGGCCCCCAGCACGCCGTGGACACGGACCCAGACATCCGGCGCCCAGATGGTTTCGAGACGCGGGCCCCCGACCCCTCGGCCCATGCCCCGGCAAGGGCCCCGAGAGGACGAGAGGTACGAACCAATGACGCCTGGCTTCCGTTCGAGACGCCGCATGTGTCCCGGGGGGCGGGCGCGCAGGGGTCGCGGCGGCGCCGCCCGCCGCCGCCGCGCCGCTGGTGCCGCTGCTGCCAGCGCCGCCGCGCCGTGCCGCCGCCGCGCCGTGCCGCCGCCGCGCCGTGCCGCCGCGCCGCCGTGCCGCCGCGCCGCCGTGCCGCCGCCGCCCCCGACGGCCGACGACCCGAGCGGGCGTGCGCGCGGCCCTCGGCCGTCCCTGGCCCCGCGGCCGGTGCTGCTGCAGCCCCCGCGCGCCCGCGCGCCCCCCTCGTTCGCACGGGCCCCGCCGGCCGGGCAGCTCTCTCCGGCCATGGCCTCCAGCGGCGGCCGGCCCCGGGGCAGGCCGGCCGCTGCCAGACTCCCCGGACTCGACTGCACGTCAAATTTTAGGGGGCCCAGAAGTAGACACCACCACCACTTCCCTCAGCCCCTCCCTCTCACAGGAAAAGGGAGAGGAAGATGAGGGTGGAGGAGGGAGGGCGCATCGACGTGGTGGTGGTGCATAACTATTCTTGGGGCCCGCAAAAGTGCCCCCTCGCCGGAGTGACCCTCCGGTGTGGGCTCGCCAGGGTCCCCCCGATCGCCGAGCGCGATGCGGCAGTGGCTGCTTGCGCGCCTGGATCGATTTGGCCATCTTGCGCCCCATGTCTCCGCGCACTAAAGATCACCCTTACCTAGGGACACTCTTGCGCGTGGCCGACAGACCCCATCGCGTGGCGAAAACATCCGGACGGGAGGTTTCTCGCTATTTTCGGCCTCTGAGGGCCCTTGCCGGGCCTCGGGACCGTCCAAAAACGACGCAGGGTGGAAGACCAGTCCTGGGAAATGGGTCCAGACCTCTGGGGGTCGACGTTGTGAACAAGATCATGACGTCGAGGGTCTGGCTCTAGCCTCCCAGATGGGCGACGAAGGAAAACGGGCTCGTCTTCACCTGCATTGGCGGGCAAGCTGCCCACGTAAGGTCGCGCGTACGTAGGTGCCCTCGTTTCCAATGCAGCGTTCGGCGATGGCGGCCCGCGTGGACCGCCGTGTAGGGTCGCTATTTCATATCGCGTAAGACCGCTTTCTCTTCGTCGCTCAGGTGGGGTCAGAGCGGATTGGGTCAGAGGAGCGCGCCGCATCGCCGATGCATCGGCGGTGCGGCTCGATGTGGAGCTTCTCCATGCCGACGGCGCCGATGCCTCCGCGATGCGGCGCGATCCTCCGATCCCGGCTACTCCGAGCCCATCTGGGAGGCCTCTATAATGACGTGCCTCTTGCCCCCAGGTGCCCCCCACCCCCCCGGCCTGCCGGCTACCTGCGGGGTCATTGAGGTCTGCACGTGGCAGCTCTGTGCGCACCCATCGCTCCCGCCCAGTTTTGGGGGTCCCGGGGCCATCACAGATCGGTCCTGCTCGGAAAAGTTCAGGGGCAATGATAGGGGGGGATAGGCTCAGGAGGGAACGCATCGACCCCCAATCGCCTGTTGATCGCCGATGGGGGCCTGCTGACCCCACCCCGCCCAGGAACGTGCGGATTCGCTGTCGGGGTGCCATCGCCGATCTATCGGCGACGTATCGCCGATTCCAGGTCGATGTTTCCCGGCCCGGGGCCTGTCCCCCCCGCTCGCGGCCCTTCAAAAGGTGCCCCAGAGGCGCGGGGGCAATGGGGCCCCGGTCGTGACTTCTCGCTCTGGTGACTCTCTGTTCGCAGGCGTCGGCTCTCGGGGTCCCTCGGCTTATCGGCGAGGCACCTCCGGGTGCCTCGGAGAGCCTGCGTGTCGCCCGCCGACGCGCTTCGTGCGTCGCGGTCTGGGGAGGCGCTCTTCTCCATCCAGGGGGCGACGCGACGGCGCGGAGAGGACCGCGCGCGACGGTGTGGCGGGGCGGGGCGCGTGAGGTTGGGAGGCCTCGGAAGAGGCCCCCGTGCCCCCCCGCAGCTCCTCGCCCACCGTCGAGCCCGGAAGGGCTCCCTGGGGCTCCCTGGAGCTCCCTGGGGCTCCCAGAAGGGCTCCCTGGGGCTCCCTGGGGCGTCCTGGGGCTTCCCGAGAGCCCAGCTCAGCTATGACCACACACCCGGCCAGGCCTGGGCCCCCGGAGCGGTGCGCGCCCCCCCCCCCAGCAGCAAGGCTGGGAGTGGTGTGCCCAGACCCCCCCTCGCGTCGTGGCGAGAAGCACGACGGGAGTTTGTGTCGCAATTGCTCGGCCTCGGGACCGTCAAAGGACGACTCCGCAGGCAGAGCCGGTCCCCGGGGAAGGGGTCGAGACCGCTGGGGCTCGACGTTGTGGAAAAAGAATGCCGTCGGGGGTCTGGGTATACGGTCGCGGAGGAGGAGGAGGAGGAGGAGGAGGAGGAGGAGGAGGAGGAGGAGGAGGAGGGGGAGGAGGAGGAGCAGGAGGAGGAGGAGGAGGAGGAGGAGGAGGAGGAGGAGGACCGCTCGCTCAGCGTGTCGCGCCGCCGGTTTCTGGCCCCGCATGCGGCCAGGGCGACACCGACCACGTCCCGGTCTCCGAGCAGCAACGTCCCGGGCTCTTCCCATCCTCCCGCCACGCGGAGCGGAGCGACGCGCTGTCCACTCGCAGGGCACAGCGCGTCGCCTGGGGCCGCCGCCGCGACACGCCAAGCAACGGGTTCTCACCGCAGTTCGCTCTCCTTGCTGTGCCCTGACATCGGCCGATGCGCTTCTGTTCCCGTCCGCCGCCCTGGATCTCCCGACCCCTCTCCGCGGGGGCAGGTTTGCTTCTCGGATCCACGTTTAGTTGCCCCGGGGCCCGAAAACGGTCCGCCGTGGGCCGAACGGCAGGACAACTCCGCGATACGGTTCAGAAAAC